GACCAAGGCCACTTGATCGCTTCGCTAGTAGCGAAGCGATCAAGTGGCCTTGGTCATAGTAACACGAGTGAGTTCGATGACGTCAGTTCGAGTACAACACGAAAAACTCGAGACTAAGGGCCCTGACCACCTTTTGGCATCCCTCTTGGCAGATCGTCCACGTGTTCTCTTGCCTTTTCTCGTCAGTTCTACAATCCTTAACTAGAGTGTCGTTAAAACCGAAAACGGCCGGCGACGGGTAGGTTTCCCTCGGACGTGACATTTTACTTAGAACACCGAGGATTAGAAAACAATATTTTAATAAATAAATCAAGAGTTGTGGATTTGAGTCCCATTCTGGAAAATTATTTGCTTGGACAATATTCTTTGGGATAGACAACGGACAATATCCTTTCAGAATATTCTAAATTTAACATTAATTTAATTCTAATGTTTAAATTTATTAGGAGAACAGCTAAACCACCTATCTCTAGCCAAACTGATTTCTTACTTAATTAGTTATTAGGCTCAACATAGCCCAATAGGTAATCTGACAGATCATTTGGTAATAGAAATGTGCTGGGTTGTTGTTTATTATGTAAATTACACAATCAATCCGCAAGAAGGAAGTGCAGCTACCCATTCTTTCACAGTTAAAAAAATATTGTGGCAATATAAATTAAAACTTTCAGTTGTAGAAATATGTTGTAAATTCCCGATCTTACGATGGTGGAAGCAATTGTTTCCAATCAAACCCCAACCACTCGTAATGTAATCTGAGTAAATTTTCTGTTTAGCGAAGTTTTACATTTAACAAATATTCTGCCAAATCCGAGAGAAAAGAATTTGTTAAAAATAATCTTTCCTTTAAAAAATGCAATTAAAATACTCGAAATATTACATCTATGACGTAAAACTCGTTGACGTAACGCGTGACGCATTGCAACGACAAATTCGAATTCGTTCCATTTCGTATTGTTGCCGACGCCATCTTGGAAATTTATGCTTTCCGGAAATTGCGAGTTCTTTTTCCCTCCATTTTAACATTTTTCGTACAAATTTTAATAATGAAAACTCGCGTAACGTAGGTAACTTAATATTTTTCGATTTATATCAAAATTAAATAATTTAAATTAGATATGCTTTAAACATAGATTAGTGGCCTGTAACATGTAAGGTTACGGAATGCGTGTTTATAATTTTATTTCTTATTACAAATATCTTAGCGATATTTTACAAATAAAAAGGACTATTTTAGCATTTTAAAGAAAACATTTGCAATTAGTTAATATTATGACGTAACGCGTGACGCTTTTATCGCACGTTCCACCGATTCGAATTCGTTCAATTTCGTATTGCCGACGCCATCTTGAAATAGAAAGTTTTCTGGAAATTGTGAGTTATTTTTCCCTCCATTTCGAGATTTATCATAAATGTTTCATTGCACAAACCCGAATAACGCAGGCAATGTAACGTTTTTTTTATTTATAAGCGAACAAAATTGAATAATTGTCGATAGAATATTAAATGTAAAAGTCTTAAATTTATACTTAAAATGTTTAAGGTTGTTTTTACTTAGCATCGAATTAAATTATCAGATNCGTTCCACCGATTCGAATTCGTTCGATTTCGTATTGCCGACGCCATCTTGAAATAGAAAGTTTTCTGGAAATTGCGAGTTATTTTTCCCTCCATTCCGAGAATTTTCGTAAATGTTTAATTACATAAACCCGAATAACACAGGCAATGTTAAGACTTTTTTATTTATAAGCGATCAAAATTGAATAATTGTCGATAGAATATTAAATGTAAAAGTCTTAAATTTTTACTTAAAATGTTTAAGGTTGTTTCCACTTAGCATCGAATTAAATTATCAGATTATAAATGATATTCGCTTGCATATTGTCTTATATTCTTTTGAATGAAACGATAAANCCTGCTTAGGGCTGCACTCCCAAACAACCCGACTCTTGAGAGGTCGAATCCCGAAGCGACCGCGGCAGCTAAGGGAGAGTTCAAGAGTACGTGAAACCGCTTTGTCAACTAAATAAAGATGAGAAAACCCGCCAAGTGTCTTAATTTATAGCACTTTATTGTGTTAGAAGCATAAACAAATTGTAAAGCACGGTTTCATATCATCAAAATCTAAACGTTGTGTTACTAATTCTATGCAATCAGTTGTCCTATTATTCAGTTTTTCACGCAGAATTTTCACGTTCCTATTATCCGTATGAATATAATATAAGCTATACTCCAGACGTTAACTTAGATAAATGAATAATATATAATGTATATTCAACAGTAATGATCCAAGGACCGTGGTTTGTGATTATTTACATTCGCAAATTAGTTATGCTATAATGAATTTTGTTCGATGTATTAGATGTACTGATTATTCAACACATATCCACCATATTTAGTTGTGGATTTGAGTCCCATTCTGGACAATTATTTTCTTACGGAATATTCTAAATTTAACATTAATTTAATTTTAATTTTTAAATTTATTAGGAGAGCAGCTAAAGCACGTACCTCTAGCCAAACTGACTTGTTATGTAATTAGTTATTAGGCTCAACATATCCCAATAGATAATCTGACAGATCATTTGGTAATAGGAATGTGTTGGGTTGTTGTTTATTATGTAAATTACACAAATCTATTTGCAAGAAGGAAGTGCAGCTACCCATTTTTTCACAGTTAAGAAAATATTGTGACAATATAAATTAAAACTTTCAGTTGTATGAAATATGTTGTAAATTCCCGATCTTACAATGGTGGAAGCAATTGTTTCCAATCAAACCCCAACCACTTGTAATGTAATCTGAGTAAATTTTCTTTTTAGCGAAGTTTTACATTTAACAAATATTCTGCCAAATCCGAGAGAAAAGAATTTGTTAAAAATAAACTTTCCTTTAAAAAATGCAATTAAAATACTCGAAATATTACATCTATGACGTAAAACTCGTGACGTAACGCGTGACGCATTGCAACGACAAATTCGAATTCGTTCCATTTCGTATTGTTGCCGACGCCATCTTGGAAATTTATGCTTTCCGGAAATTGCGAGTTCTTTTTCCCTCCATTTTAACATTTTTCGTACAAATTTTAATAATGAAAACTCGCGTAACGTAGGTAACTTAATATTTTTCGATTTATATCAAAATTAAATAATTTAAATTAGATACGCTTTAAACCTAGATTTGCGGCCTGTAACCTGTAAGGTTACGGAATGCGTTTTTATAATTTTATTTATTATTACAAATATCTTAGCGATATTTTACAAAAAAAGAGGACTATTTTAGCATTTTAAAGAAAACATTTGCAATTAGTTAATATTCTGACGTAGAACTTATGACGTAACGTGTGACGCATTTATCGCACGTTCCACCGATTCGAATTCGTTCGATTTCGTATTGCCGACGCCATCTTGAAATAGAAAGTTTTCTGGAAATTGCGAGTTATTTTTCCCTCCATTTCGAGATTTTTCGTAAATGTTTAATTACATAAACCCGAATAACGCAGGCAATGTAACTTTTTTTATTTATAAGCGATCAAAATTGAATAATTGTCGATAGAATATTAAATGTAAAAGTCTTAAATTTATACTTAAAATGTTTAAGGTTGTTTTTACTTAGCATCGAATTAAATTATCAGATTATAAATGATATTCGCTTGCATATTGTCTTATATTCTTTTGAATGAAACAATAAATGTCCTGTATTAAAAAATTATTTTAATAGACTATTAAATTAATTAATTAGCTAATGAATCATCTGGATCTTTTCTATTCTTAATATTTAAATTCTTAAATTATTTTAGGAAGAAGTATCATTCTCAGATTTTATAATCCACTTTCTAAAGAGACATGGAATCATTTTAAAAACTTCTTGTGCTCAAAAAATTAACATGAAGCAAAACAAAGGAAAAGTAAGACTTTTTTATTTTCATTCTAATTCTGTACATTGATGCAGTAGAAAATAGTATATAAAAGTTTAGAATCCTCATTGATGAATATAAGAATTTATTGTAGTAGAATGATGTTTGGATAATAATTTTATTCATTTACGCCATTCAGAATAATATGAATTACAATTTTACCTAGAAAAATTAATCTATTGTTTAAAAAAACAGAACTTTACAACTTATGTATTAGTTATTTCAATGATACAGATAAATTTTTAAAAAACATGTTTAACACACTGCAAAAACAATCCATTGAAACTTCACACCAATGCTCTGGGTTAGTTAGGTACCATTGGCAAAACTCCAAATTATCTAAAATTATTAGGTAGTCCTCTCAACTGTCGACAGTTATATTTCTGTCTCTATACTAACTGTTTCTATACTTTCCTGCTGACAACACATACATCTCTCGCTGTGTGATGGGCTGGTGTAGCTTGCCTGCCTTGTTGGTTGTACCCAGAGAAGATAATGTCCACTTCTTTGTGGGGTTAATGTTGACCAATGTAATCTGCTCCATCATACTATCTGTCCATTTGTTTATCACCTCTTGAAGAGTGAATTCCATCACCTCTACAAGTGTGGCAGGGTTATGTGACAAAATAAAGAGACGGGTCTGGAGGATCGAACCCTCCTGAAGGAAGGGATATCTAAAAGTTGAGAGTGATTCAGACTCAGGGTCTGTGGTCTCCCACCAAACACAAAATGAAATGAACACCAAACCTTGCACCACAAAGATTTCTTTAAACTCTCTGTGCACCAGAAGGAATAATTTCAAGTCTTTTAAACAGGTCTCTGACAACTTAACTTTATAAAGATGATCATTTCCTGATAACTCCACTAGCACTCTTTGATACTTTCTCTAACAATTGAAGGAAATATTGTGCAGAAGGTTAATGCTGACCCCAAGAATAGCAGTAATGGGGCAATGTATACTCTACCAGTGCCAGTAGTACTTTCTGTAGTTGACTTTTGTTAATCAATTTTTCAGATAATCAACTCTACTGTATAGTGAAAAAATTTTGAATTCCTAGTTTGTTGCCCATATGACTAATGCTTTAAGAATTCTTGGCCTAAGAAAGTTCATTGTAAGAAAACTTTCATTAATCTAAAATAGTTTTCTGCACCTTATGCTGAAATTCCCTGGTTTAGAAAAAAAATTGATGGAATCGGAGAATTGAATGACAGGAGTTGGGAAGTGTCGAGGATGTCCACCCAAAAGAAACTGTCTGAAAGACCTGTGAAATCAAGGAACTGACTTTAGAGGTTTTTTGAATGGGTTGATCAGATAGTTGGTTACATACTACATATTCAGAATGTTCTGGAAAGATCCCATAAAACAAACACTGAAAGACCTATAAATAGTTTTGTGATCAATACTAAGCAACTGCCAAACAGGAAGATAAGAGAAATGATGCTGGGAAGTTACATGAAGGAAGAGGTAAACAGAGAGTCTCAGTTCAATGCATCCTTACCATACTGTAGTTATGGTTCTTCAGTAATTTAAAGTAAATAATGTCATTAGACAAAAACACTGAAGGGAAAAAACATCATGGTGGAGGTGTCTCCTAGTTTGGAAGTGTCTCCTAGTCTGTCAATGATTTTAAAAGTTTATTCCAAGATTGAAAGGAAATTCAAAATCCTTAATGAGATCCTTAATTATTGATTGCTGGAGTGTGAGCATTTGTCAAACTATCAATCCATAAATGATGGAATAAAAGTGGCACCTGACCTGGATGAGAAAGGAAATTCAGCAGAATCAGGGATTCAGGCAGTACGGATGTTGCTGTGAAGACTGGCATTCATTGAAGCATTCACTTTGTCGGAGTAAACAAGAATTTGTTTGTTTTGTTACTCTCTAACAAAAATAAGTTCTAAATGATTGAGATAGAGTATATTGAGATTGAGAGTAGCTAATATGCAAATAAGTAATATTTCTTTTAGCTAAATTTGGGACATTGATTAAACTCAGTTTACAGCTAAAAATTACAAAATGCAATCATATAAGAGCGTAAATTTTCAAACAGTTTATTAAAGACTTTAATAATGCAATAATACAAACTATACCAGTCAAGACAAAAAAGTCATATCACACAATCAGTTAATTCCAAAATATTTTTATTATAGAGTTATTCTTTGCATAAATTCTGAGAGGGATATAATGTATTTACCTACTTTTAATTATCTTTTGTAATTACTGTTTATGTATTATTATTGATATAATGTTAATGATTATAATTATAAAGTCTGTGTGGGTTCACACACACACATACATAGCTTTGGTGTTGTATTTATTGGATTTAGATTTTTTGAACCTTAAAATTAGATAGTGTAATGGCAAATTCTGCTAATACTCCTAAACTTTTTGCATTCACAAAGATCCATAAATCAGGCAACACTATATGAACTGTAATGCCATGCTGCATACTTGCCTTTTACAAAATGCTATTCGTAATCTATTTAAAGATTATTTAAAAACCTATAGATTATCTATCAGTAAAACAGAGCAAATAATTGATGATTTGTTGTAGTCAACTTATAGGAGATGTCTATATTACAGTCTTAGACTTTATACTGTACCTGTGTCACCTTAACACAAATTACAACAAATTTTTGCCCTCTTAGACATTTATTACATAAAAGCAATAAGCAAATTCTTGGATTTTATCTTGGATTTAAGCACATATTTCATGCTATTCCTCTTTCTTTCACTATGAATTACAAGACATATGTTCAAAAGAGAGGGGCACCTGTGGATAGTCTCTTTTTTACCTGGGGTCCTTTGTCAGATATAATATTATTGTAAAAATGATTTTATCAACTCTACCATTAATGCTTATGTGCAAAAGATATGTGGAAGATATCTTTATTATATGGAAAACAAAACCAGATATAAATGGCTTCATACAACAAATGAATGACAATCCTTATGGACTGTATTAAATTAGACCATGCCAGTAACTAAATGGTACATTTTTTTTAACTTAAAATCAACAATAAATATGAAAATATTCACCCAAATTTATATTACAAACCATCACACCCACCATTATTTATATCTGCAAGCTCCAATAACCCCTGATGTATACAAAATAGCTGCTTTTAGAGCCCTGACAGAAAGACCATTTACCCATTGTACAGATTTTACTGAAATGGCAAATGACTATAACAGTTTGAATATATTACTATAAAACAGGTTACTATAGAAACCTTATCCAGAATTTGGCTCAAACCTACTCTGGTGGTAATGTTCAAAGCTCATATGCTAACAATGGGATAAGAGATAAAACTATTAGAACCCAAACAATATACTCTGTATCTGACTTTATTACATGTAGACCTATTCTGGCCAAAAATATATATACAAATTATAGTCTTACTTCATTTTTATGCCTTAATTATACTGAAGTGTTTATTGAATAGTTATCAGTTAATGTACTGAACATCACTTCATTATTTGATTTGACTATTTCCATTCTAGGATTTTACAACTATTTTTAAATATCTAATATTATAATATACACAGCAATATATCCAATGAAAAGCACTCATGCAAAAAAACAAATTATCAAGGTATAACAGCATACATGATAACATGAGCAACCCAGGATATTTTCAATTAAAAATTGAATTTTGACTATTTACAAAAAATTTTTAACTTTGTGTGTGTTTCGTTATAATTTATCACGTGTTCTGTGGAAGTTCATCCAAGCCAATATACTGTTACTTCTGTGGTGTGTTAAAAAAGGATGAAAGATAGACTCGAAAAATTAAAAAATTTTTTGTAAATAGTCAAAATTCAATTTTTAATTGAAAATATCCTGGGTTGCTCATGTTATCATGTATGCTGTTATGCAAATGAACTTTATGATTACCCAAAATCACCACCAGGAGGCCTGAACCAGTTATATATTGTGCTAAAGAACATGGTAGTTATGGTCAGAAATGGTAACCATTGTTTTAATGTTAAAAAACGCCGAATCCTCAAATAAAAGGTCGGCGTTTCGATCGTTTTTAACTTTGTGTGTGTTTCGTTATAATTTATCACGTGTTCTGTGGAAGTTCATCCAAGCCAATATACTGTTACTTCTGTGGTGTGTTAAAAGGATGAAAGATAGACTCGAAAAATTAAAAAATTTTTTGTAAATAGTCAAAATTCAATTTTTAATTGAAAATATCCTGGGTTGCTCATGTTATCATGTATGCTGTTATG